CCTGCTGAATCTTTGATCTAAAAGCTTAGCTAAACCAAGTAAGGCTTCTGAAAATATTGCAGAAAGATTGTAATGATTCATAAGTAAAAACTGATTTCTGGGAGCTTCCATTCAAAACATCAACAAAAATTTTAGTATGAACTGTTTCCCTGTTGTTCCTTTCCAGTTGCTACCACTGGCCCATCAGTTTACTACAGCCAGTCACCTGCCTATAACTCCCAGTATCTTCTCAGAACTGCTGCAACCAATGTAACACCAACAAAGGTGGGAACAGATCTATCCACTTAAGCTACTTCCAGTGATGTACTGAAAATGACTGCTTTTGATTCTATGTGTAGTTGGATGTAACTGCTGTTCCTTATATAGTACTTGGTAAACTTGGACTGGTAGTGAAAAATTTATAGTTCAGCATTCTGTGTAACTTTTGGGATGTTTGGTTTGGGCAGAAAAGCCAGCAAAATGTCTGTTATGTTAGTACATGTTCCCTGCAGAGCATATGTGATAGCACTTTTATTTTTTTTTCCCCCAGAGTAGATGGCAAAAGAGAATGGGGCTTTCAAGGACTATTTTTCATAAGGAAAAAACAGCTCATCTTGTGCCTTTTTTTCAATGTTTGCTTTCAGATGCCCTTCAAGATTTGAAATAATCCTTTTAAGCAAAGTTAAAATTAGTTTAGATTTAAGTTTGTGTGAAAGCATGCCCTGCTTTTAAGAGTACGTTATGTGAGCACAGTAAGACTTCGTCCTCTTTGTTATCATCATATGCAAATCAATTGTTTTCTGCCTTTTCTGTAGGCTCCTGTCTATGCCATGAACCGACTTACACCTCAGCAACATATCTATGCTTATCAACAACCAATGCATACACCACCTCTGCAAAACACTTCTGCTTGTATGTTTTCCCAAGACATATATAGCACACCTCTGCGTTTTGATTCTTCTGGTACTGGACTAATTTCTCCTCATGGAGGTGATGATTACTACAATTACAGTGTTCCACAGGCAAGCACAAATCCACCATTGCCTGAACCAGGCTATTTCACAAAGCCTTCAGTCCCTCCACCGACTTTAAAGCCAGCAGAGTCAAAAGTGATAGAATTTTCTAAACCTAAATTTGGACAGCCAGGAACAGCAGAAGGACCAAAAACATCCCTGTCAACACCAGCACAACCGAGTCAGCCAACAACTTTTAAATTCAACACTAACTTCAAGTCTAATGATGGAGACTTTACGTTTTCTTCTCTTCAAGTTGCAACACAACCTCCTAATGCAGTTTTTAATAGCAGCGAAAACCTCTTGGGTCTTCTGACATCTGACAAACCTTTACAGGATGATAGGTACATGGAACAAAAACCAGTTAATGATCACACAAATGGTCAAAGAAGTGTTTTCAGTTTTGGCAGTAAAAACATTCCAAGCATGTCTTTTAGAGAAAATGTGGGACAAAATGCACACAAAAACCTGGGTTTTGAGAAGAGCGATATGTTTAGTGTCCAAGAACCAAGCAAGCCTGTGTTTGTGACTTCAAATTCAGACTTGGCCAATAGAAGTCATGAGGCAGAGGGAGGAAGCACCCATGGTGGAGATGAGGATGATGATGGTCCTCATTTTGATCCTGTGGTGCCACTTCCTGACAAGATTGAAGTCAAGACAGGTGAGGAGGATGAAGAAGAATTCTTCTGCAACAGAGCCAAGCTCTTTCGTTTTGATGCAGAATCTAAAGAATGGAAAGAAAGGGGTGTTGGAAATGTGAAAATACTGAAACACAAAGTATCTGGCAAATTTCGTCTCTTAATGAGACGGGACCAAGTGCTGAAAATCTGTGCAAATCACTACATAAACACTGATATGAAATTAACTCCTAATGCTGGATCAGATAAATCATTTGTATGGCATGCTTTAGATTATGCAGATGAGTTGCCAAAACCAGAACAACTTGCAATTAGATTTAAAACACCTGAGGAAGCAATGCTTTTCAAAAGTAAGTTTGAGGAGTCACAGGATATATTAAAAACTTTGGGATCAAACGTTGATGCATCTGTGACTCAGAGTAGTGGGACTGCAAGAGAAACAGCAAATCAGGCGATCAAGGAGCCTAGCAGATCCATTTCTGGGACCCTGAACTTCGGCTTTCAGTTTCCAAAAGATGGAGTGAGCAGTGAATCTGAGAGCAAAGGCAGCCTTCCAGCTGCATCAACTGCATCTGGCCCTACCTCTTTTTCGTTTGGAAAGGAAGCCTCACAAACCTCTTCTGGTGGGTTTGGGCAGCATCTCTTGAAGAAAGATCAATGGCAGTGTAAAGTGTGTTTAGTTCAAAATGAAGCAACTGCAAAGAATTGTGTAGCATGTCAAAGTCCAAATTCAGATATGCAGGAAACACGTGGCAACCCATTAACTGAATCTGATCCAAATTTCAAAGCCAGTGGTAACATTTTGCAGGACAAATTTGGAACTTCTTTTTCTAAAAAGGAAGGTCAATGGGACAGCACTGTAAGTTTAGTAAGAAATGAACCCACTGCCTCCAAGTGTGTTCCCTGCCAGAATCCAAACAAAACTAATACAGCTGTATCTAGTCAACAAACTTCATTTAAATTTGGCCAGGCGGTTGCTCCGAAGTTTGGCCAAAATGACTTGGGAACTGCTTCTTCTAAAAAAGAAGGTCAGTGGAGCTGCTCAGTATGCCTAGCCGAAAATGAAGCAAAAGATGTGAACTGTCATTCTTGTCAGAATCCCCACTCACAAAGTCAACAAAATGTACCTGTACCTACACCTACTGTTCAGGCATCCACTGCTCCCAGGTTTGGTTCCATTGCTGATGCAAGTAAGCCACAGAAAAATGGATTTGAAGGGCTTTTTGCTAAAAAGGAAGGGCAGTGGGATTGTAGTACATGTCTTGTGAGGAATGAAAGTTCTTCACCAGTCTGTGTAGCCTGCCAAGCACCAAATCCATCTGGTAAGCCTGCTGGTGATGCTTCATCATCTCCTACTTTTGGCTTGAAAAGTAAATTATCTGAACCTGATGGAGGACAGTTGGCAACAGGCTTTAAGTGTGATTTCTTAGGAAAGGGTTTTAAATTTGGTCATGTTGAGCAAGGCAAGACACCACCATTTACATTTCAGATTCCTTCTGATGCTGAAGCAAAGCCCGCAAAGGAAGGATTTAGCTTTTCAATGCCGGTGCCTCCAGGTGGATTTAAGTTTGGGATACAGGAGTCTGGTAAAAATGCCACTAAGAAAGATGAGCCACCCAAAGAGTGTACAACTGGCTTAAAAAGCGTTGATGAAAAAGACAAAAAAGAAATGCCTTCAGATAGTGGAACTGCATTCCAATTTCAAGAAACAGCAAACAAGGAGAAAGGTGACTTTGTTTTTGGGCAAAATAGCAGCACTTTTACTTTTGCCGAGCTTGCAAAAAGTACTCCCATGGAAGGCTTTCAGTTTGGCAAAAAAGACCCTAACTTCAAAGGCTTTTCAGGTGCAGGTGAAAAGCTCTTTTCTTCACAAGATTCTAAAGTGGATCACAAAGCAAACACATCTGCTGACCTTGGTGAGAAGGATGATGACGTGTATAAGACAGAGGACAGTGATGATATCCATTTTGAACCTATAGTTCAGATGCCTGAAAAAGTAGAACCTTTTACAGGAGAGGAAGATGAGAAAGTGTTATACTCCCAAAGAGTAAAACTGTTCAGGTTTGATTCAGAAACAAGCCAGTGGAAAGAACGTGGGGTAGGCAACCTGAAGATTCTTAAAAATGAAGTTAATGGCAAAGTAAGAATATTAATGCGGCGTGAGCAGGTACTGAAGGTGTGTGCAAATCACTGGATAACAACAACAATGAACTTGAAACAGCTGTCTGGCTCAGACAAAGCATGGATGTGGATGGCCAATGACTTCTCAGATGGTGACGCAAAGTTGGAGCAGCTGGCAGCAAAATTCAAGACGCCAGAGCAGGCTGAGGAGTTCAAACAGAAGTTTGAAGAATGTCAGAGGCTACTACTAGATATACCACTGCAGACACCCCATAAACTTGTTGATACAGGTAGGACAGCTCAGCTTATACAGAAAGCAGAAGAAATGAAGTGTGGCTTAAAAGATCTCAAAACATTTCTGACAGATGACAAAACTAAGCTGTCAGAAGAAGAAAATGTAAACTCTCTCTGTGCCGGCAGTACTTCTGATCTGGTTATAAAGCCTCATGCTGAAAGTACTGGGCCTACTCTGGAGTGGGATAACTATGACTTGCGTGAAGAGGCATTGGATGATAGTGTGAGTAGTTCTGTATATGCATCACCTCTTGCAAGTAGCCCTGTAAGGAAAAATCTATTTAGATTTGGTGAGTCTACCACAGGTTTTAGTTTCAGCTTTAAATCTGCCTTGAGCCCATCCAAATCTCCTGCCAAACAGAACCAGAGTAGAACATCAGTAGGCACAGATGAAGATTCTGATGTTACTCAAGAAGAAGAGAGAGATGGGCAGTACTTTGAACCTGTGGTACCGCTGCCTGATCTCGTGGAAGTGACCAGTGGTGAGGAAAATGAACAAGTTGTCTTCAGTCATAGAGCTAAGCTCTACAGGTATGACAAAGACACTAATCAGTGGAAAGAGAGAGGTATTGGGGATATCAAGATATTACAGAACTATGACAACAAACAAGTACGTATAGTAATGAGAAGAGACCAGGTACTAAAACTCTGTGCTAATCATAGAATAACACCAGATATGAATATGCAACAAATGAAAGGATCTGATAGAGCATGGGTATGGACTGCATGTGACTTTGCAGATGGGGAAAGGAAAGTAGAACTTCTAGCTGTGCGATTCAAGCTGCAAGATGTTGCAGACTCATTTAAGCAAATTTTTGATGAAGCAAAGCATGCCCAAGAGAGAGAGACACTGATAACACCTCTTTCTTCACGTGCCAACACACCGAAGGAATCTCCGTGCGGTAAAAATGCTGTTGCTGTGCTAGAAGAAACTACCAGAGAAAGAACTGACTTGAGCCATGGTGATGATACTTCTGATGTAACTGTCGAGGTTGCAGAGGTGTCAAACACTTCTGAAACACCAACAAAAACAGTGGTTTCTCCTCCTAAGTTTGTATTTGGATCTGAATCTGTAAAGAGCATTTTCAGTAATGAAAAGTCAAAGACGTTCACATTTGGAAATACTTCGGCTACTGGTTCTCTCTTTGGCTTCAGCTTTAATCCTCCAAGAAAAAGTGAAGACAATACTGCAATGTCTCAGAGCTCAACAGAGAAAGGACTGAAAGTCTCTGAACCACCAAAAAGTTCTAGTGCTCCTCAGAAGCCTTTAGACAGCAAGGCAGACAACTTGCCCATTTCAGCACAAGATGGACCCAGTAACTTCTCATTTAGAATTCTGGAAAAAGGTGAGTGTCATTTGAAATAGTAATTTTTTTCAACTACACATCTTATTAAGTAAGTCATCTTTATGCTGTGCATTAGTCTTTTTAGCTAATGGAGTGTATTTTAAGTGATAATTATTATAAAAATAAATGTGTGATAGTGAGAAAGGGGTTTTCAGGTTGGACCTGTAACTCTGAAGCGCTATACCTGCATCTCAGGCTTAAGTTCTTGAAGAGGAACTGTGGATTCACTCCTGAGAATTAAATAGCTAGTTGTATTGACAGCGTATGTATCTGAGCCTCTGCTCTGAGCAGTAAAGTATGAGAAGAGCAAATGGATGCTTCAGCTAAAAATATAACTATCCCCATGATTGCACAGATGGGTATTCTAAAACTACTCTCTCCCTCTCTTAATTATTGGCCTCTGTGATTTCAGATGTGTAGCTGAAATAACACCAAGATGTTAGCCTCTTTTCTAGCCTGAAAAGAGATCATGAGATTACACAGTTCTACAGTTCCTCATACTGAAAAGTATGTACTTGCAGAAGCTGTGGCTGTGACATGTCACGATAATGTATTGAAGTGTTTTTGTGAGAAGAATAGAATTTACTAGCATTATAATGGTAGGGTATTTCTCTTTGAAGGTTTTTGTGTGCAGCTTCCTATCAGTGCAAGGCTAGTTAATCAGTTGATAGTTCTTAATTTACATACTAGTCTTAGAATTAGGGAGACATACTATCTGGTTTTTTTACCTGAAGTAAAACCAAGTGACATCGTAGAAGATGAAAGCTGCAGTCTATTCACATGGGTTGGATAAGCTTGTGTAGAATTAACAGATGAAATTTCCTACTGTGAAATATGACTGTACTTCCAGAACATAAATAAGTCTGTTTTACCATTTTAAAATTCCAAACAATTTATTTTCTATAGGATTTAATTTTAACCTTTTTAAATCTAACCCAATGGCCTTTTGGACAAGCACATCTTCCTTGCAACATGATAGTAAAGGTATTTGCATACTGCACTGAATGTGTGATAGAAACACTTTAGCAGGCATGGACAGTAACCCAACTGTGGCAAAGTAGATGGCTCAGTAATCTTTTTAATTAACATGCATGCTGAAGAAGACTACTTAAAATTGTGTGTCTGATTTCTGTATTTGTCCTACTGGAAGAATGTATCTAGCCCTGATTATGTTAATGTGAGCAAGCACAATGAATGGCCTTGTTTAAGCTTTTGGCTTCAGTTTGCCTTATTTTCTGAGGGTATCTACCTTGCATTTCTCCATCATGGTTTTACTGAACATGCACACTGGGTCTCTAAAATTTCCCTTTCCTGAATAAATCTTCCTGGTATTTTTAGAGAATACATCTCTTAGTACTAGAGAGTACTTCGGTCCTAGTACTTCAGTACTAGAGTACTTCAGTCAAATATGCTTTAAGAGCTCAAGACATTATCCAGTACAACATTTGAATGTATTTAGCCTCTCTTGGAAATGTTTAATTTCATTTCCCAGTTATGAACATGTCAACTACTGCACTTTTAAAAATTATAAGTGGACAGAAATGAGCCAATTTATTAGCTATGGCGCTTATATATATGTGTACTTTATATGTAATAGGAGGTCTACCATAGCAGGTCAGAAAATATTTCCTGAGTAACCAATTTGTTTACATTTAGAACCTGTAAACAGAACTGTGACAGCTTATAGTTTGATTACATGTCATTATAGGATGTTACTAAAGGTGCTTCTTTTGCTTCTGAAGTATGATTCCTGCAGTCATACCTTACACAGTACAACAGTATTTTCATTTTGAAAAGCAAATTTTTATTCTAATCTGCACAAGACAGTCTCCTAATGTCAGTGTTTTACATTGTTTAAAAATGTCAAAACATGATTTTCCCAAAATTATGTTTCTAGAGAAGCTGCTCTTAAACACTGAGCTCCTGTTCTGTATATGCAATCTAAAATGAACCATTCTGTCTGTAGCCATCCCTGTGCATGGGGTTTATTAACAATTCAGTTTTATTCTCATTATTCTATGTCCATATTGTGAAGCCATTAAGCATTCTCCACCAACCAAAATATGTCTTTCTGGTACTTCATACTGTTCTTCATTTCTCCTTTTCTGATAACTAGGATATGATTATATGGTTAGTAGTTTATTTACAGCTGATAATTTTCAGTGTAGCTTTTTGGTGGCTTTGTTTTGAGCCCTTAACTTAATAGCAAATGACTTTCAGAAGTCCCTTCTAAATTAGGTTTTGAAGCCTACCCAGCACAAATATAATATGAGGCTTTCTTATGAGGAATGTCTTTTGACTACTGAGGCGACTGAATTGTGCTAGAGCAACATTCCAAAGAAATGTAACCTCACAATTGTTCTGCACCTCCATGTAAAATATTTAAAGTCAGGTAATTTGGAAGTGCTTTATAAGACTGAATCAAAGTAATGTCAGTAGCATGTTACTTTATCAGTTACATGCCTTAAGGTTTAAACTCTACTGCTTTTCTGTTATATCCAGAAGATACTCACAGATACATGCATGAGAAAAAAATTACCAGTATTTTGACTAGTTAGATATTTAGGCTTACCTGGTTTTAATGTCAGTTGAAACAAAAGCAAAAAATTAATACACTTAAAAAGAACTGTTGTGCATGCTGTTGTTCTTTATTTTTGCTTCCATATGCTAACAGTGTTTTGTGTGGACTTTTCCCCTTGAGTAGAAAGTTCTATTGTAACAAAACCAACTGTCTTTTAAGAATGTTGTATGTATGCATGGCTCTTTGTTTTCATGGCTGCTTGTGAAGATACATTTAAGCTGTTTGCAATATTTTTTAATAAGAAAAGTTAACTTTTTTGTGGTAAGTTAGTAGAAAATTACTTAACTTGAACCAGTGACCATCTTGCTTAGCCATGATATTCTCAAGGCAAATACATGTTGTAGTTTTAATCTTTGTTGTTGAACTCCTTTGTCACTTTGAGTGGATGTTTGGAACATGAGAATCTTAATCGAATGTTTGGTAGTTCAGCTTAATGGAGAACTTTATCTATGGATTAATCTGAAGTGGCTTTTTAATGTATTTCTCTTACTCATCTAGTTTGCTCAGTATCTACTGAAAAAGGCTGCATGATATTTCATTCTGGAATGCTGTCTGTTGAATATGATGGACTAGCTTAAATTAAAGGTGGCTCTAACTTTTGCCATCTACTTGACTGATTTGGGAGTAATGAATTTGTTGTTGTTGAAGGCACACTTCTGAAAAATTATTGTATCCTAAAGCAGGCTATTTTTTACTGGAACCTTTAATGGCTGGTAAGACTAAATACTCCACAATTAAACCTTTGTGGTGAACTTTATGCAGACTTAGTCCAATTGAGACACTTGCTTAACTAATCTGAGTGAATGAAGCCAATGCTAATATGCAGGATACCTATATATCTTGATAATGTGGTGCTAGATGTACTCCTAATTCTTACATCAGTTAGGGTTAGTGAGTTTTTTGCAGAAGATTTTGAAGATATGAAAGCATCTATGGCCTGCAGTCATTCTGTGAACTTGGAAATGTGCTGTTTGAGGATTTTATCCTACACTTACTTTATACAGGCTCAGAGGAGCTACTGAGATCTAAAAAAAAAAAAAAAGTGAACAAAAAGGATTACTCCACAAGACTGTGTTGGTATTGGGTTTGAGCTACACTCTGGTATATAAATGCCTGAAATTATTAGCTTGTCATCAAAGTGAGAGTCAATTGGGGCAAAGGTTGGAGAGGGAACACTGTAAAATAGGACTTAAATTTGAACTAGTACTTTGGACTTTGCCTTTACTGTCCTTTATATTGTTCCTAATCTACTGGAATATACTCATAGGAAAGTGCTTTTAAAAAGCAGACTTATTCTACTGTCTTGGTTGTGCCAGAGTGTCAAGGAGCATGTATGTAAACATTACACTTCTCTTTTGCCCTTGTCTCCTCTTGCAATGATGAATATCAAGTTGCGTGAGCAGGAAAATCAGCATTCCTCAGGAACTCAGTAGTAGTCTGGCTACTAGCTGAGGCTTTAGGTTCCCACAGGTGACTACCTTGTGCCACAAACTTCACAAATATTTTCTAATGAAAAGAGCATTGAGCTTTTGAAAGCACCTTTCAAATTCTGCTGACTAGTTTAACTCAAATATAGAGAATTCTAACAAATAGGTTGACTTGTTGAAGTAATCAGATGGCTCTTAGAAGCAGCTGATGAATGGATATTGATGGGCTTAGGGGGTAATTCTTATAAATAGTTTGCAATTATTTTTTTTTTCCTCACCTTTATATTCAAGCTCCTCCTCTCAAAACCCAACTCAAACAAACAAAGCCCCAACCAAACAATATATGATGCTTGAACTAGTATATCCTCCCTCTTTGCTTCCAGTCTCTTGTAATAAACTAACCTCTTTGTTTGCAAATCTGTCTGCTTGTTCTTATGGGCATATGTTTTTCTGCAGTTTGCTCTACGCTGAGCTTTAGCTTTAACCTTTGATTATGCCCTGCTTTTTCAAAACAAGTGGAATGGACAACTTAATTTTGAAGGAGGGAGGAGAAAAAGCTGTATAATGATATTGATAGTGGTATTTATCTTTGCTGGAAAAGCTGGTTAAATAGGCTGAAAGCAGTATTTATTGTACTACAAGATGGAACTCAAAATTTCTTTACTTTTGTATCAATGACATTTTTAACAACTGCTATTATGGTAAATTAAGATTAACTACTAAAGAGCTCAGATTTCCCATAGGTAATCTGAAATGAGTTCTATTCAGTTACTGCTTTCTGTTTTCTAGCACTTTTAAGCAATTCAGCA